GAATTTAAGGTGTCGACCGGTCGGCGTAACTGGTGCAGAACAACTTTTGCTTGACACGCATGCACTTAAGACCTTTCTGTTGACTATGCCATCGGTGGAGTCGTCAATTATTACAAAGCCACCAACAGTATACACAAATAGCATTGTCAAGATTATGACGAAAGCTGAGATGATCCTCAAGGCATCTACTATACTACTATATCTTACAGTCATTTTAAAGCATTTTAAAATGCTTTACGACTCCCAGTAAGATCAATTCTAGCTTGTGTAACCGTAACTTTCCAGGTAGTAATGTCTGAGGTGGCATCTCATGAGGAGTTTGTAACAACTTATGCTCGTATGTTACCGGAATCAGACTCGTCCGAGTTACAGAAAGTTCTTGAAATGAAAGCAATGCGAAGGCAGGAACAAGCTAGCATCATTCAGCTTTATAGGACCAGATTTGAAAATCCGACTTCGAATGTTTCCGGAGGTAATTCTTAATCACTAGACATCTTGAAGCGTTCTTGTAATATTGGGTCTAGGATTGGCTTTTCTGTGCAGTTTCCTTTACAGAAGGAATCTCAAAACCCATGGTGGACGTATTCCGTCACAACTTCTTAATTCCTAGCTTATTTCAGCAGCACAGTCCTCAACACTATCAACGCTCGAGAGCATCGGGGACTCAAGTATGAGAAGGCTGGAACAATTAGTAAAAAAGAAACCGTAACCACTGCCGCTGACATGTTACCGTTAAGATTATTTGGGACTCTTACATATCCTTAACGGCGGTTTTTTGGGACATGGCATTTTGAAAGATTCAATAGGGCTTTTGGCTAGAAAAGTTGGCTTCTTGCATCGTCAGAAGCTCCTCTAAGGAAACGCCTTCGGTTTATTGACGGAGATGCATTGAAAACTAATAAAATCCTTGGTTGACCACTGAGATCCAGTATTCAATGGTGCTTTCTGTATCTGGACCTTATGGTTATGGACCGTCAGTTTCCAAATAATTAATCAGCACGCATCTCCTGCTATTCTGGTGCTCGGGAGTGTTAGAATCCTAACGAATCTTCTAATGCTAGCGACCCACTAGTGAGTTACTGGTGGGTTACCCACACTGTTTCTGTTCTTTCATTTGTTGTAATTTTTTGGATCAAATTTCTTGGTGGCAGCATTCGTTTTGCTGTACATTCATTACATTTTATAAAAGTATGGTTGTACGAACTTGAAGAAATCAACCAGTTATTTCTGAGAAGCAGTTGAAGAGAAGTGCAAATACGGGTTGTCCCACGAGTGGAGAAAGTTAAGAAACAGGACCATTTTAGTCTTCTTAAAACTACGTGTTCATAGCGCTAGATGATTTTCTAACTGGAGAAGGGCAACAAGTCATACAACTAGCTGCCGTGGAAAGCCATTCGCTGCATATTCAGCAATCTTTCAAAGTGCTGATATAAAGCGGACACTCGATTTTATGGAACAATGGATGCAAAAACATGTAGCATCATTAAATCGGGTTTTTCCCATCGCCCATTATGTATTTCACAAACTGGGAAAGTTAGACGCCTGACAGCTCAAAATGGGGAGGAAAGGAGCGTAATGGAGATTTATCGTATTGAGAGAAAAAACTATTTACGAACCGTGTAAACCCCAACAGACAGTACTTTTCTGAAGTATGTTGGGGAGAAGCAGTAGTTGCGAAGCCGGACGACGAAGAGAGCACAATGTTGCGAGGGGCAAATTTTGATGTGTTAATGGTTTGTAGGAACTGCTTGGCCTCTGCAGTGATTAAAGAACCTGAATGAAACAGTCGGTTTCGTTTGACACGTGCTGTTCCTTGTTGTTCAGTAGCGTCGTTGCTGAGAACTCCGGCACAACAGTACCTGCAACGTTGCCTTAGCAATTACATCTTGGACAGCGCTTTATGGTCCGAACATCCTGTACGGTTCCGGTTCAGTGCGTTGCTTCTTCAATGCTTCCCTGCTTCAGAAAATCAAATTCAAGATCCGTGTTCCATAAAAATCGAACTTTTATTGTAGCACCTAGACTTAAGCAATGTAAGAATCGTTGCCTTTTCCAGTCAACTTTTCTATAAAAAGAACAACAGTTCAATTACAGCACTATAATCCAAATCCACCTTCATAATTAATACACGTAGGTCTATTGCAAACGAGACCTATCTCACAAACCTTTAAAAGAAACTTAGCTACTTTCCCAGAACTCAGAAAACAACATCTAAAGCTTGCTTCCTACAAAGTAAAAATTAAAGGAATGAAAAAATCGCACACAAGCAAGAAGAGATGTTAGCAAGCATTACAATCGGCTAATCAAATAGTAGCCAACGTCTCCCAATAATTAAAACAAGACAATCATTAATGTAACCACAGACAAATCAAAGAGTACCTTTACAAGTACCAAAATGAAAAAAAGAGAATCACTTTCAAAAGAATGGACGGAAAGAGCGTAAAGCCATCCTGCTTAAAGTACTAGACGATTAGTCGATAGTAACGCATAGCCTTAGTAAAACGAAAAAATAATACCATAACTTGAGAAAACAAAAATCTCTATCTTCGTTAAGAACTTAAAACCACATCAATTCAGAGTCGGAGAGAATGAGCATTTAAATTTTGCTTCTGAGCAGTATAACGTCTAAGGAAAAGTTTTCAACGAAAACTGAAAGGACCTGGAAAGGCTCCTCCACCTTTCTTACCACGGTACCTAAACCTGCTCCTTTAACCGAATCAAGTTCAATCAGAAAACATTTAGGAAAATTCCAACCAAACCATTACTCTTGCAATTTTCGAAATATATTCAACGACAGAAAATGTGCTGTGACAGTAAATACCCATTTTTTTTTATCCCAAGTATGTCTGGTGTCGTCAGTATCTCCTCGCATGTGATTGGGCTCGGCTCAGCCGCACCACCCGTGAAAATTTCAGCAAACCTCTTTGAAGAACTCCTTGTTGAAGATGCATGCTGCAAAGACAGCATAACGTTTCAAGTTTATTCCATAATTTAAATGATTACTGAGGTGATCCTAATATCAAGTGAAGGAACGTCGAGCATTACAACAAAGAAAAGGAACTTAGACTTGCCACCTACGGTATTTAAGCAATCGCTCAGCGGCGTACTGGTTGCGACAAACGAGAATTGCAAATTTTTATCTCGATCACGGTTACTTCCACAAGACCCAGTACCTAAACAATGCATACCCGTTGCTGTTCGAAGAAGAAAATTAACCTCACTGTAACAGCTTTTACGGAACTCTGCTTTCGTTTTAACCACTTTTAAAAATGAAAACAAACGATAACAGTTCCTATGAAACTCCTTTTTATGAGAACCTCGGCGACTAGAAATTTTTCTGATACCTTATTCCTTGAGCGAAATTTAATGCCCCTTCAATTTCGTAGCTCCCATCCTCCCGCTTCTGAGGCTTTCGCCCAACAAACACAAAAAAAATCACTCATGTTTTTTGGAATTCTTACTTCCGCTCGCTCGGACTGAACCTGGAGTACGAGTTCGACTAATGGCAGCCTGGTCTGCGATTCTAAACATTGTGGAAAACTTGGTTTTTTTATTAAGGTTATGGAACTTTTTCGCATACATCACTGGTTCAGGCCCCCACTCGGCAACAAATCACCTATACCAAAAAATATACAAAGCATAAAAAACTACATAAAGAGTGAACCCTACTGCACAACTTAATGGTTAAATAAATCCTTACAGATCTTCCAATTTTTGCGTGTGCTGACGGAGCTTCTTGACTTCTTCTGCCAGGTCAGCCTTTTCAGCTAAAGCTTTCCTGAAAACTAAACAGGTATCATCGTTGCAAATTTACTACAGTAAAACTGAGGAAAAATTGGTACCTTAAAGGTTTCACAACGCTAAGATTACTTTTGAATTTACAAACCTTTCGCTTTCCGCTCTACGCTTTAATTCCACCTGAGCAGACATCACGAATTTCGCAGCCTTTTTTTGCTAAATACTTATTTTCAGTAATCCGCCAAGAAAAAAAAACAAATGAAGAAGAATCCAATGAGACATCTTCCTGGCTTGAAAAAAAAGAAAGATTCAACTTTCCTCGACTTACACCTACACGTTTATTACTCATCAACACTCGCGAATCTCAATCTCCTCACTGAAGCACGCTTTCTTTTTCAAACCAAAAACTTAAACAATACCTGGTATTTCTTTCGAAATAATGCGTTAACTGGATACTTGAGAAAAGCAAAATAAAGAAAAACTTACGTGATCCTGCCTTGCTTTCATTAGACGACTGCGATGGTGTGCTTGAAAATCTAGAACACTGTTTATGTTTTTCACGTAAGTTTCTAACAATTCTTTCGGATTCCGAAAATACATTTGATGTTCAGGACGTAGCAAGCGATTTATCTCCAAAACGTGCATTGCCTTTTGACACACCTGACAGGAACTAACACCACCTAAAAATCATCGAAAAAACTATCACTCTGATACGACAAAATAACAATGAATTAATAAAATAAAACAAGGAACTTAGAAAGTGAAGTAAAAAAGTTAAACAGAATGCGTAAAGCTCAATCCATCAAGTCGCGAACAAAAATAGGAAAGCTCTATCTAATGTGAATCCCAATGTGCCCTTGAAAAGTAAAATTGGCATTCAGAATAAAATTAATGACAGACTCTTTTCTAAACACTGCTGGCATATGATATGACCACAAGATGTGAGGAAAAATGGAACATTCTCACTAGAGGTTGGTAATCGGACACATATATTGCAGTGTAACCAATCGCTCATATCGTTCCCTACAATTACAAAATCAAACTGTTATTTACTAAAATACACAGATTACAGACTACTCTTGTATCCCGAAGGAAAAAAAAACACTGAGCTTTATCTTACAGTCATCTGCCGATAAAATTAAGCAAACTGAAAATACCTGAAGAAACTGGAAACCTTGAGTCTGTCAAGCACCTAAGTTATGAAGGCACTTGATACGCCCAAGAACTGTAAAAGAGCGATTACGACGTAAAAAGAGCTTATCAGAGGAAGACTATTCCTATAAAGCACAAGCATGATTCTTCTGTTCTCAACCACTAAATTAAGTCTGTTCAAGAGATGGTTTTATCATTGTCATCTCTTACTAAGAGAATGCAAAGCGCAACATCAATTCGCACAAAAAGTTCCTAACTGTACAGTTTACGTCCGTCATTAGTTACTTAACGAGCCACCGAAGCCAGCCCGATTCTCATCATCATAACAGCGCAAAATAATCCCATGTCAAGCAAGGTTTTATACAGCACACGACGACCAATCTATGCCAAAAATTTCCTGAATATTACGTCTGTTTCCAAAAAATGTCCACTTGTAACATGAAGTTAATGGCATGCCTCACAACAGGAAGATACAAAATGAACCGTCTATAAAGACTATAAACCGTTTTTAAGCTAAATGCACAATTGATCAGCATTTTAGTTCAATCTACCATCAAGCACCACTTTAGCAAAAAAGATCTGGCAGCCAACAAAAACTGTGCTGCTGACGGTATCCATTTATACTCAAATCTTTTGAAATTAAAATTTCTTCTATAAATCACCTCGGTTCGGATGAACTTTTCGAAAATTTTTCTTGCACTGCTTAGTCTCTAAACAAATTTAAACTTTACTCCGCTCACTACGAGTACGTGTTAATACCTATTTTGTACTTACTCTTGTTTGTTCCGCTTTTCCTGTGACCAAAAAAGCAGATTTTACAAATTTTAGCTCCGGAGTTCCTAACTTTGAGTTACCTCAAATACATGTTTCTCAATCAAAACCACGCTAAATTTTCTCGCTTTCCTCCAGTTACCCTTGCAAGAAGAACCCTAATAAGACTGTACAACTAAAATCCCGACTGAAAAGGTCCAGGACGTAAGGCGATAAGAAACTTAATATCCACCGCTCCACACTTCCCGAAAACTAATAAAATCGACCGTCAAATGATCGACAGCCTAAAGACAAAGCAATCAATATACAGAAATTCTATAGCTAAAACAAGTGAGTGGGCTGTATCGAAAATCGCATACAGCGTAATCAAGGGAAAAATGAATCGCTCAAAGGCTGTAGACTAGGAATATATAACTTAGATAAGCCAAGTACGATCTAACATTTGACTTTACACCACTATCAATTGCCTAAACCCAAGTGTTTTTACTCCCTACACACTGATCCTTTCAAAAAACCTGATCTTTTGCATGTCTGCTAGAACACAGACTTTGCAAGCTCTTTTTACAAAGACTTCATGTTTACTCCTAAGAAGATGAAGTATGGAACCATCCCAATCAACTGGCGTTTCAACTTCTGTACTGAACAATTCTAACGCATTAAGACCTATGCCTCAAACATTTGTACTTTTTAATTTGAAAATAAAACGTAACCATTAAAATAAATAGAAATCCAACTGTGAAAATTTGGAAAGCGCTACAAGTCCGCTGCTCTCTGTGGCACGGCAAAAAACAGTTCAATTCCCAAACCTGTAACGACCTCAGCGTAGTCACTAACGAGATGCTAACTCGCATTTCAAAATTACGCCCTGTAAACCAGGAAATGATGACAGAAGGAAAGTGGGCGAAAAGTTAACTACTTCTTCAGCTCTGTTTGTTTCCCACCCACGCCGACTTTGTGATACTCGAAAAGCTACTTCGGTACAATGTGACTATATTGTCATGCTCCTAAACTACTAATCCAATACGACCAGCGTTCCTAAAACCTTGGGAGAAGAATCAAGAATAAATAAATAATTGAGAACAAATTTTTTTTTTAGATAACACGCAAGTTCAATTTATGAGGCATCCGTGTTCCAACGTAAAAAACAAATTTTCCTGTCTAAAAGCCAGTGAAGTCGTGGTGGCTCAGCCCCATCATACAGCAAAACATACCACTCGTAACTACCGAGGCGTCAAAATAGCGAACAAAACGAAGACAGTTGGAACAAACGAATGTCTACCAGCAGAACTTCACTTCGCAGTGCTCTCTAAACAACGCTTCTAGGACGGCGGATACAGTGATTGTTGCCTTACAGTAACCCGACCAAATGAAAGCAAATTAACCCGCTGGCAATCAGGAGGCGTGCCAAAACGCGGACGTGCGAGCATTTCGGATTGAGGGCGGCGCCGAACTAGCAGAAGCGCTCGCTGTGACAATACTCGGCCCGCAGGATGGCACGGTGATCTGCTGACAGCTTTCCACTACCTCGGATATTTATTCTGCTTTCCTTTTCGGTTCGAAATTTTGTAGGATTTTTTAGCTTCAAAAATCCTTCTGCACATCTTAATCGCTTTGGTTCAATACCATCGACAACCACGGTGAGGACATGCAGACGTGACATGGACCCTAGACTAAAATATAACCAGTAGTCGCTCTTTTTGTCTTTTTTTTTTCTTTTGGTGTACCATATATCATTATTTTCCCACGTTATTTGTTCGTCCGTTTTTGACGTTGATAGTACCACACATTTATTTGGCAGTTGAATGTCACTCAGCATTCGACTTAAACCTTTCCCAAAACAGCTTTACGTCGCAGAATACGAAGCATACGAATGCGGAACAAATTTTGGGATCATGAAGCATATTCTTTTGCCCGTTACTTTTTTCAGTCTCTATAATAACCAGTCGTGTACTGTTCTTGCGACAAATGGTTGAAGCAAAATCTGCACAGCTTTCATCATACAAATTGGATATTGATGATCCTCTTCTCTTCTCCTATATTACAGGTATCGCTGGCCCAAGTTTATGCAGGGCTTCACGTTTATAATTACAAAAAAATTTTTGGTATTTTGCTACTCGCCACTGATATTGTTTTTTCATTTTGTGCTTTTTTGCTTAATCCTAAAATCCTTCTTTACATCGTTATCTAAATGATGGAAAATTTTCGCTATCATGTCCAGGTAACGACGCTTGTGATTTGTTGAAGCGGCTTGAGTCAGATTTTCACCTGAGGTTTCGGTTTGAGAAACAGACTATAACAATAGAGGGTTATGGTCGTATTAATGTAGAATGCATTAAAACTGTTTTGAACGAAGCTTGGAAGGCAGATGATTTCAAACGGTTGTGTAATTAAACTGCTTCTTACTTTCTTTTTGTTTCTTTTATTTAAGTATTCAGCTTTATCACGTTTTTAACATCTTGTTAATCTTTAAGTTTTAGAGCTATAGAGGTCTTGGAGTTGACAAACTCTTCAGATTTCCAACTGTACTTCAAAGTTTCACCTGCCGAATCTGCGCTGATGCATGTAAACGCCAAAAAGTTGCTGCGTTGCCCTGGCTTATTGGCATTCAAGGTCCTTTGTTTGAATGCTCATCATCCTCTTGCTGTCTCGTGTAATGTTTGGTTCATATTTTAGGCAGATGCATCTGGTAATGTTTGCCTTTTTGGGAAAGATTCCTCGGTTTCTAGGGTGTTCGAAATGGTTTCTGATATTGTTTGCCAAGCCGCTTTACGTGAAAATTTAAGAAGTGGGTAAAATATTTTGAATTGCTCATATTTCTACTGCTCTTGGAGGCATATTATTAGTTTGAAGCTCTTTGCAAGACCTTGAAACCTGTACCGTTGCAGTAACCATATATTTTAGAGAGCAGTGAGTTTTCTTCCGAAGGGCCTTGTACTATGTCGATGCGAATCCCTCAGAAAGTAGCAGAAAACATTTTCTCGCCAGAAAACACGTATATAGTAGAACTCCAAAAAAGATTCCATTTTTTTATTGAGCAAGCGGAGGCCCCAGCAGAAGTGGATGAGCGCCTTGGCGTACCAGTAACCGTATTTACCAAATCTGTAAGTTATGATTTCAAGGTAAAATAAATGCTTAAGGTGTTAGGCAAAACTTCTTATAAAGTGATGGCAATTTTTAAACTTGGGATTCAGAGTATTAGATTGCCTGAATGATTTTTTTAAGTTAGATGAAGCTTTGAAAATAAAGGATGCGCTCTGTGCTCAAATAGACCTATTGAATGGCGCAAAATCGAAATCCTTTGGCGATATCAGGCTCCAGTGTGGAGCATTTACTATCAGCTCTAATTCGACAAGTATATTTTTTGCGTATTGTTTATTACATCTGATTCCCACTACTTTTTATCTCTTCATTGCTGACTTTATATTTGTTCTAGAAGAGGGACTGAAGGTGGTCCTTTCTGCAGTTGAGATACAGTTAATATTCTGGGCCAACGAGCGTGACGCACCGCGTATTATAGGTTCGCACGGAATCACCAAAAAACGTATTCAAGAGTGCTCTAAATGCAAAGTTCTGGTAATACTACATACAAGATCTTTCAGCATCATTTGTTAGATGTCTGAGAAATTTATTAAATGGTAGCACTGGAAAAACTGCGCACTGTTTTAAATAGAAAGGATTTATTTAGGCCAAGAAAGTTTGACGGAAGCATAATTTGTACTTATTTCGTTTTACTGGTCTTTTTTCAGAAGGTGGTGCAGTGTTATACTAATGAGAACTTGATACCATTATCATTAAAAGTTCCTTTGCAGAGGTCAACCGCACCTTTTAGGGAAACACTTTTCAGCTGCATACGGAATCAAAGCGTAACGGTTTGTTTCCAGTTGAAATTATTGGACCCAATGTTCAGAAATGTGTTGAAACTCGTCGTCGCATTGAATCTTTTCTTATGCAAGTTCCACCTGCGGTTCCTGGGAGAGAACATCAGTGGAATTTAACTGCTGCAGAAGAAGTGATTCCTAATGTGAACACCTACGACATTTCGGCCTTACAAGTGTCGCGACGGTACCTCTACTTTCCCGAGAATTACCAGCTGTCGCAGCAAAGCTCCAGCAAGGATTTAATTCGTAACAGTTCATCGTTAGTTACTTTAAATGTGGAATAACCTTCACATCCCACTGATGAAAACATCTGATCTTTCTGATTCTGGATGCAAGCACCTACCTGCAACTAGCGGAATAATTTCGTAATAAAATAAATATTTCAGCTCTCAACCCCTTACGATAGCTTATGGGGACAGTGAACAAGCTTTCAAAGCTTCAATGAAGTCGACGGTGCATATGTAACGTGCTTATCATCTACCATGTACGGGGAGAACTTATGCAACTAACTTATACTAAAACCTGATTAAAATGGTCTTCCTTCAGTTTAGTTTAAAGGTGGTTCAAATCCAGCTCAAATCCAGGTGCCAGCATTCAGTTGGCAATGAACTGTAGGATTCTTCTGCTAGTGAAGGCCACCTCCTCGATTTTAACGGAATTCGCTGTTGATGCATTTCGTACTGTGGTTTCAAGTCTTGTTGAATTATCCAAATACTTCCGTTACCAAGTTGCTCGTTGGGGTTTCTTATCACCATACTTCTGCTCACAGCTTGCTGTTTTGGTTGGTCTAAACGACTTTAATACCCCCACTTTTTCGATAGTTCGTGCTGTATTATCTACTCATTCCTGTAGCGCCTCCACGATTGTGTATACCATGGATTGGAAAGCTAATGCGTTCATTCAACATACTTTTGTAATATTCGCGTGCCATGGACTCCAGATGTCCAGTGGAAATTTTGTGACCTGTGATCTTAAATATAATTACAGTGGTAGCTGAATAAAGAGATGCAGACTGACTCCCCGCGTCACCACTTGGGCTGCGGCTGGCGAGTTTTTAGCCCCCACTAATCTCAGTGTTAGCCGGAGAACTAGGCCCTTAAGCTGTCAAGGCAACTCGCAAACAAAGTTTAGAACTAAATGTTATAGTTGCCCGCTTCACGGAACACATTTATTGCCCGAGTAGCATGTACAAAATGAGATCATTTTTTTTCATGCAAGAGATTACCAGCATCCGAGTTAATCGGGAGGAGAGAGAAAATGTGAAGTAAGGGGCTTATGTGACGAGTCCAGGGTCGTGCAGACTTATATTTCAACCTCAGTGCAGGACAGACCCATCAAGAACGTGAGAAAATACAATAAAAGTAAGCCTAGACAACATTTCACGAAAGCAAACAAAAGGAGTGAGCGAGGAGTAGCCAGTGTAATATGATAAAAACTCTCTTTCTAACATACCGAGAAATCTAGCAACAAAACAATCAATAGTGAATTTTAGCAATTAACCAGGTTACAGAACTTTCCAATCAATTGGCTGTCTTCCCATCTTCACAAGCGCTTCATTAGTTCTCGAGAAGCATCGACAACCAAAAAACATACGGGCGCTTAAAGGTGAAGGGTGAGCTGTCTAAAAGAAATAACTGTTATACACAGCAAAACTAAAAAGCTGGAGATCTAAGATCAAGGGCAGAAATGCAGACCAAAAATACCCTCGATAGACCGAAGATTAGTGCGTAACAAGCAGTAATCACGAAAGGTTACCTTGATCACAGTGTGCTTCTTACGATCAACGAGAGCTTCCTTTTTTTGTGCGAAGCCACCCCAAAGAAGAAACACAACTCCCTTGGTTTCTCGCGATATTATACGGATTACTTCATCAGTAAATTTTTGCCATCCAATGTTGCTATGAGAATTAGCTTTGTGGGCTCTAAACTTGTTTCCTTTTTTTATACTAAATACTAACAGCGGCTCGTTAAAGAAAAAAAAAGCAAACTTACTGAACTGTCAACGTTGCGTTGAGCATAAAGACACCTTGCCGAGCCCATGGGACAAGGCAACCGTGATCTGGTATTTTAAAGGACGGGATGTCGCTTTTGAGCTCCTGAAAGCAAAACTTATTTACTCCTAACTTATAGAACAAGATGCTAATGAATGCCAGACGGCAGCGACGCTTGGAAGATTAACCGACTCCACTGGCAATTTGTTACAGTGAAGTGAGTAGTATGTATTAAGAAACTAATTTTGGAGTTTTGATAACCGGTCGAAGAAACTTGGGCGAAAAAAGGAACCACAAGCAGAAAAAAAAAGCAACGTTTCAAAAATAATTCAATCTTTCTTTCTCTAGAACCGTGGTTACTAAAAATATTTCCAAAAAACAACTGACTTTATAAATATTGATAAGTGATGGTGGTGGCCTTATACCCTTGTTTACGGAGAAGCACAAGCCATGTGCCTGAAATGAGAACAAATTTCCAAGTTGAAGTCCGAATAACAGATTCTTATTTCAGAATGCTAATCATTTTAAATTCCATAAAAAAAATGCGGGAGTAAAGTCACAGCAATCTGCCTAGGGTCAAAAAAAAAAAAAAAGGAAGACATGTCACCCCTTAATAGAGAAAACAAACTACCTGTCCTACATCATGGTAAGGATCCTGGCCAATTAAGACGACCCGAATTTGGTTGAGCGGGGTTAAGTTGAAAGCATTAAAAATCAAATCCCTAGGAGGAAAAACGGTGACACCCTGAAAAACCAGTATCCAGACAAAACCCTCCCCAGCAGACGTACAAAAACAAATGCAACTGACCTTTTCCTTCTCTTTCTCCAAAAAGGTAACTATTTTATGCATATAGTCCTTACGCAATTCCAGATTCAGTGCCCTCCTCCAAGACCGGTCAATCAGCAGGCTAAGCAAATAATTGTAGCTGCCTTCCTTAGTTGCAGAAACCGCCAACATACCCAAGCAACCGTCCGACTACCCAAAGACAAAAACAATAGAACAGTTCTGCCGAACCCGAAACTACTAGAGTGATGGCGCTGCTTCCCTTGATTCACTTATTTGAACAAAGCGCGTGGAAGAATTGTCGAAATGAAAGCGGGAAATTTAAAAACCAAGATACCCCTGAAAATTCCGCCATACCTATCCGTTTATCCTCATCCGCTAATTAGCTAATCAACAGATAACCACCAATAGATTCTGGATACTTGGCAACGAGCAAAACAACATGCAAACAGAACATTAGAAAGGCGCCTCAGTGGCCATCGTTTGTAGGAGTGGAAGGCTGACTTGTAACCCGTCACTGCATTGTAAGCTGATCCCGCATTTGAATCTCTAATAACTGTTAACTCACTTTCACCAGGACTTCGAAACGTTCTGAAAAGCCACGTTTGTAAGTATTTGTATTTTCCCACATGATGTGCTAACAATTTCTTCATCCCTTTACATCTACACCCCCATTAGAATCGTATTAAGGTAACTCTTAGCTTCCCCAATTTAGTGGCCAAAAGAAAAGAATTTTCTAGTTTTCAATTATTTCTCTCTGCCTTCGCCATTCCTACAGAAAAACTTTTCGAAACGTTTGAAAAAATATTAATTTACAAAACCATAGCAGATCCCTACATTCAATTTATCCACTGGCCCTGACAAGTCACCGGGGTATCTAACTTAAAATCAGTTTACTAAAAAACCACTTGAGTGCGATCCAAATAATTCTTCCCTTCTGATAAAACTTGTGTTTGTAGTAAAACACCCAAATTTCTGCCATTCTGGTAAATTATACACCTGTACATACTATGTTTGTTTAAATGCTTCAGTGCCTTATTAAGCGTAGTTAAAAGTGGTGTAAACTATAGGCAAAAACTGAAGTAACATCGGCTTCCCCATCTATCGAACGAAGAGTAAAGACTGATTCTCCCGCAGTTTCCCCGTACCCGTTTGAAAAAGTTATATATATTTATATGTAAGCAGGTCATTATCTGTTCTTCTAAACGGCTTCGTTGTCTACTTCTGCTTCTTGCTTTCATAAGATCTACTCAACTAATATGACGTTGTGTAGATGCCGGAGAACGTGTTTTTCATCAGTTGCTCTTGATCTTTCTAACCTGACGTCGATTCGTTTTCAATGTCTGAAGTTTCTGAAAATTTCTTCGTTGCTTGGTGCCACGACATTGCCCTCCGTTCCCGTTCATCACTGTTTGAGCGACCAGTAATTTCTTTAAACGTTTCCCGACCTCGTATCTAATTTTGTTTTGAAACTTTTGCTCTGTTTCAGGCAGCTTTAATCATGTACCCTTGAAATTCTTGTTTCCTTCCTCCTCGATTGATAACTTACGATTAGTACGAGTATGTGCAGGTTGACCTCTTCCAAGTTTAAAAGTAAATACCCCAAAAAAACTTCCAACCCACAAAAAAGATAGATCATCGAAGCCTGAGAAATTTCGCTATAGAGGGCATCTTAAATAGCGACGATGAAGAAGTAGCAGCTGTAGCTGCAAAAATTTTCAACAAGGCAGGTGATACGACTTGCCTGGCTAAGTGTGATGAAAGCTTGAATACCAAATTACTTGGTCAAAATCATTTGGTCACGTCTATTCAGTGTGGAGTAAAAATGAAGCTAAAGCGAAAAGCAGCTATTCCGTGAAGCCCAGTAACCTCTCAGCGAACACCCGAACGACTGATTGAAGATATATATAACGTAACATGCAACCGGTAAGAAAACAGTTTTCGTATCCCTCTGAAACAGTCTCCACTGGAAAACTAGTGCCCTAAAAGAAAGAAAAAAAAAAAAAAAAAAAAAAAAAAAA